ATTTTAATTATTCATTATTCCTCTTTTGGGGGTGGGGGGCTGGAGGGCAGTGGTTAATAGAAATGATTAGAGTCTAGTGTTTTCCATTCGAATAAAAGATTTGGAAGCATTTAAATGTTAAACACCTAGGAGAGTGTATCCTATCTGATAGAGGTATAGCAAGAAGAGAAATGGGAATTGAAATTCTATTTCTTGACCTTGTAAATTAATCATTATTGCCAATCCAATCCCATTTTCCCGCTGGCCTCCCCCTCTTAATATTTCCCAATTAGCATTTTTGCTGTACAGTGTTGTTTTTTTTCCTTCCCTCCTCTTCATTTCTGTCTAAGAAAACTAAAGACAAGCAGACCCACCCTTTGCAGGTCATCCTGGAGTCACTGGCAAGAACCCGGTTATCGTGAGGTTTCTGCAGCCTTCCTTTGGAGTCCGATCAGTCCCCTCTCTGGGACCCTGCATCTCATCTTAAGCAGTAATGCTGGCGCTCGAGACAGGAAACCAGACAGCAGTCTGCCCTGATAAGGGAGAGCATTGTCTAAAGGAGGTAGCCCTGCCCCCCAATCCCCACCCTACCCCTTCAACTCTCCTTGCTTGAATTCTAGTAGTAATAAAAGAGACACAGTACTATGGAACCAGTTTCTGAAACTAAGAGCTTTTTTTCTAAAGCAAAGAGATTGTGTGTGTACAGGTACTCTTAGTAGTTGGCCCTGGATGGATGCTGAGATTATCTGGATGCATTTTAGCTTTGGTGAGCGTGTTTAGTAGTAAACTTTTTTCTCTTAGCAAAGCAGGTTCCTGGAGCTTTTTGAAACATAGTCCATTGTGTTGTCAGCCAGAATACATTATCGGTTTCCCGTCTAATTATCAGCGAGGTGAAGGACTGGAGCCAGGGTAGTAGCCAGTAAAAGCCCCTTGGGCTCAGGCATTTGGCGGGACCCCTGGAGCTACAATTCACCCTGTCTCACGGGGTGACTCCCAGAGACTGCACACTAGGAAGACACCTCTGAGAACCGAACTTGTTCTGGGCCATGTCCAGGATACTGGCCAATCTCTGGGAGGTTTGGGGAATTTGCCAGGGATCGCCTTTGGCTAGTCTAGATCCAGAGCAGTGGAATTTGGCCAACTCCAGACTTCAGAGAGGTCCGGAGACAAGGGGTCAGCACGTTCTACACTGGAGAGCGCCATGGGAATCCAGGGTGGGCCTTGTCTGCTCAAACCCCCCCTGGTCTTTCTACTAACCACTGTTCTCTGAACTGAATCCCTGAAAACTACTCCTCTATCCGCCCTTGCCCTTTACACCCAGATTCCGCCCAAAGCCTTGCACCCCAAGTGTACTTTCTCATTAGTAAGTTCAAGTTCCTACTCGCGCTACTTTGCCAAACCTAGCACATTCGTTCGCATTCACAAGCTGCATTTCAGAAGCCTACTTTGGGTGGGGGGTGAGGAGAGGGATGGGGGCGCACTGGCTTTACCAGCCTCTGGGCAAAAGGTTCCTTGCGAAACACCCAGTAGGCGACAACCACCCTAGGCCTCGCCCCTTCATTTTATCCTAGCATGCGAGGTTTGGTTTACATTTCTGTATTCATCTCCCAGGTATTTTATTGAGCATCTACTCATTAGCGCTAATCGCAAATTATGTGCACTCATGCACTGCCACGGGACGGAATAGATCTGCAGTGATCCAACCTGAGAAGGCATTTTGAAATCATAATTGCCTGCTGGAACCTTCCGAGAGGCCGGCTGAGCGTGGACCTGCGTGGGGGGAGGTGCACCTCCCACTTGCCCGAAGGAGGTGGCGGCTTAGCCTCCGGAGGAGTGGCCCAGAGCAGGGGGCATGCCGGTGATTTTACCTGAAAGCGCGCCCCCCAGTACCAGACTCCGGGAAGCGGAGCAGGAAAGAGTCCGGGTCCGCAGGCGGACGGACTCCTGTTCTTGGCTGCCGCTTCAACAGCTCCGCGAGTTTGGGCGGGTCATCTTACCTCTGCCCCTCCATTTCCTCATTTCTAAAATGGGGGGTGAGGACCTGACCCTTCCACCTTGGTGCAGTTATTAGGAGGATTTCCGTATTTACTTGAGTCAAGCTGCCAATTTCTCTCGGCGGTTTTTATGGACCAATTGCAGGTGCATTGGCCAGGAGGAAGAATAGCCTAATTTGGGGCCTCCTGAACAGGTCTTTTGATCTCCGTCCAAGTTTGCTTTCTCTCTGAGAGGGAGGTAGGCTGCAGGGGTCAGTTGGGAGGAGTTGAAAGTGCTGCTACTGTAAATACACCACTCCAGAGGTTCACATCCTCTCCTCCTCCCCGCCCCGCATGCACCAGCTTTTCCGAAGAGATCCCCTCCCCTGCCCTCTAGGACCGCTCCGGGCTCTCCGGGTGCTCGCGTTGGGCAGCACCTGGTCTCACGTGAACTCCTGCAGATTCCCCACAGTAATCAGGGAAGTCGTGCCCGCCACTTAGGGGATTAAATAACCCAGCCTTTGTCAAGGGTGGTGGTGCTGGCCTGCAGGACCCCTGAGACGCCACTGGCCTCCGTGGACCAAAGTATTCCCTCTGGAAAGGTTTGTTTCCACCCCCCCACCCCCACCTCCCAGGCTCACTCACTATGCGATTTGGCGCTTCCCCCCTCCCATTTTTTTTTCCCTTCCCGTTTCAGATTTTAAATAGAGACCTTAACCCTAAACTTCTTTAGCAGACCTGTCTGGGTGGATTTAGAGAAAAAAATCCGAAGCTGATACAACTGAAGGTTCTGGAAATCCTGGGGCAGGCAAGGTTCAGATGACCATGGAGATCCTTTTGTTAAGGAAGTTGGGCTTAATGCACTCTCACTAGGTGTAGGGAGTGGGGAGGGGACATTGTTTGTTTAAGGGAGATTTCCAGTGCATGCAAAGAGAAAGGGAAATGACTCTGGGGCACCTACTGTGTGCCAGGTGCCCCTGCAGGAGCTCCCACTCCCAACCCGGGGCCTGGTTAAACGAGCGAACCTGGAAGCTGGGAGACTGGTCATCCTTAACTGAGTCAGTTCTACTCTGCCGCTTGAGGTCACTGTGAGCTGAGACGGACCTGAGGGCACCTAACAACCACGCCCAAACGAAATCCAGCCAGTGCCCCCACCCCCCTGCATTTAGTGTGAAGAGGTGTGGTCTCCTTAGGAGATGGGTAGGCGTTCCCTGAAGCTGCCTCCGGCACTTCTGCTGGTCAGGTGCTCAGAGCCCAGGTGGTGCTGGAAGACTCAGCCTTTGGAAAGTCAGGAGGCCGAGCCCATGTAGGTGAGAAGGGGTGCTTCAGAACTTCCTGGGAGCCATCAGCTGGCTGGCCGGCCAGGAGAGTGGCCAGGGCCTTGAGCTGGTCTTTGAAGAATTAGGCGGATTTAGATAAGCCGGAAGGGGGGTGGGCATTCCACACTGGTTGCCCAGCATCAGGGCCAGAAATGAACAAAGGGCATGGGGAGGGGGGCAGCTGAGCACCAAGGGCACTTGTTGGAGCAAGGGGCAGCTGGCTTGGAAGGGGGTGCCAAACTTGGGCCCTTGGACATACTCTCTAAAGCCCTGGACATCCTGGGGGAGAAGGGGTGAGCTTTGAAGGGCTTTGGGACGTTTAGGTGGCAGGGGGCTGGGGCATAGATGACTGTAGGGGTGAAGGGAGAGCAGTAGCAGAGGCTTAAGGCCCTGGGGCCTCACCCCATGACTGCAGGAGAAATGGAAAGAAAAGGTGAGGGAGACTGAAAAGATGACCGCAAGGTTTCCATGGTGGATGGCCTCAGACAGTGCGAAAGGGGAGGCGGGGGCAGGGCAGCCTTCCGCAACCAGGAGGAGGAGGAGGAAGATTGGGTCTGGGACATGTTGAATTCATTTTCATACACAGCAGTGGTTCCTGGGGCTTTTCTGTTTCCTTTTTGCTTGTCTTACAGGGGCAGCATTAGCTCTTGGTTCTGTAACCAATGGGGGGGGGGACAGGGGGGCTCCAGGCGGCAAACACTTAATAGAGAAACCCTGGGGAAGAGCATGCATGAACCGCCACCACCCCGGTCATTTTTTTTCTGGTTATTTATAAGGTTCCAGCCATCCTCGTTAGGGCTGGAATTTCCAGAAACCAGCAGCTGACTGGAGCCAACTGGCCCCTCCCAGCCTCCCACTCCCTGCAGGGTGTGGCCCATGGGTGGAGGCCCCTCCGGGTGGAGTTGGGTGGGTCTCCAGAGATAGGGCACCACCTCAGGCCCGCCCGGCAGATGAGAGGCCATGTGGCCTCACACAGGCCAGGCCTTCTGGGTTTGATTATATAACGCCCCACAGCAGACAATTGTGAGGTCCAGGCTAGGCCTTGTAAGAGGCTGCCATCCTGGGAGGGCTTAGGGATAGCAGGAGCTTTCCCTGTGAGCATTTCCCAGTTGCTTGCCCTGAAAACTGAAACACAAGATGATCAGCCTAAGAAAGGAAAGAAAATGAGAGAGAAAAGCAAATGTGTATTGATTGTTGGTGCCATGGAGTTGATTTTCGATTCACAGCCTCCTTAAAGAGTGCAGAATGTTTTACCCGAGGGTGTGGTTTTCACTCCTTCACCAGGTGGCCATTGAACTTGAGTGTTTACCCCAGGGGAAGATGGGGCTTTGTGTCCCCACCCCCAGCTCTGCTTTGCTGAGTGCTCCCCCTCCCCCTCCCTCCTCCCTAAGTCTGGAAGGGGTGTCGGGGATTTTGCTCAGTTGTTACCTTTGCACCTGTCCCTATTTACATGCAAAATCAATTGCTTCACTTGGTCTTTCCGAAGCACAGGGTGTGGGCAGAATCTTATCTGAAGCCGTGTCCTGTTTGGACAAGTTGGGCTCCCTTGGCGACTCTCCATAGGGTGGAGCAGATGGGTGGAGGCAGGAAAGTAAAATTGGGTGGCTTGTTAGCCGAGAGAGGAGAGAGGGCGGACTGTTTGCTCACTGGATCATTATATTTAATCTGAAACTAAATAATTAACTTCTTTCCCATTTACAAAACTTTTTAATGCAAAGGAACTAGTTTATGAGGGGCAAAGATTTAGAACTCTTGCCGGGGGAGCACTCCTTGCAAAGCAGCCCTGGAAGCCGGAGGCCGGTGGAAGAAAGGCTCCGGTGACAGGAGAACAGGCCAGTGGCTCAGGTAGGTGCAAACCTTTGGCTTTTCTAAAGGGGGCTTCCGGATGCCGCCGCTGGCCTGCCCGCTGGGACTTCTGGCCAGGGTTCCTGGGCCACAGACAGCCACAGAGAGCATCCAAACCCCGTGGGAGACTGGCTATAAACGAGAAGAAGGAACATTTCTCTGAAAAGGAAGTTTAGCTACAGGGCTATTGCTTACCTGCCTGGTATTCCTCCCCACCATGCATCTTTCTCTCTCTTTCTCTTATACACACACACACACACAATTTTTGTTATTCTTAACTTGTCCCCCCCTCCTCCCCCAACCCCTTACTAAGGTTTCTTTGGGAGTAAAGGGTGAGGGGTGGTGGTGTGCTTCCTCTCTGGCCTATCCCTGCGGTTGAGAGTTAAAAGGGGCACCCCTAAGAGACGGTGTGTTGGCTCAGCCATGCAGTGGTCCTCCTCCCACCTGGCTCAGGTCAGCTAGGCAAGAACAAGCAGCCTGACTGGAGGAAGGCTGTGGTGTGGGGCGTAGGGTCAGCGGGGTTGGGGGAGGATGAGGCAAGAGCCCTTTGAGGGTCTGGGAAAGGGATGGAGGACATGGGAAGAGTTATAATACACGAGGATGTCCGAGGCAGGCAGGCCCTCCTGTTCTCCAGAAAACGGGAAGAAGCCGCCTCTCTTCTCTTGCTCCAAAACTATAGACTCTCTAGTATTAAAATTGTGTACACACCACCCACCCACCCAGACACTGTAGTTTACACAGCCATTTATAAGTTTTGTTTCTTTAGTAAAATATATTCGGGGTTTAAAACCAGCCCCCTTCCTTCTGTGAAGGCCTGTGAGGATTTCTAAGCCGGGTAACTCCTCCTAACCCTCATAAAACAATTCTGCGGGAGGCCCCAGAGAGCCCAGTAGGACTCTGAAACAGAATGGTGTTGCATCTGAAACTCTGTGTCAATGATTAGCCATGGCCTTTTAATAAATAATCACACAGTCTGGCATTTTGGCCAAAAAAAAAAATCACCCTTATTTTGTCGTCATAGGAAAGTCAGAAGGCTAGTGTTCGAAGGAAATTATATTTCTTCTTTTCTGATGAAAACCAGTTTTGTCCTTCCCAGAAAAGTACACTTTGGCAAGAGGACATTTGCCCCACTCCGGGAAAATTATTTTGATATCTCTTCTGTTTCTGCTTTGAAGCCCCTGGGTAAGGTAGAGCTTGTTGTATTTTTCTAAAGCAGTGTCTGACTCGCCCCTTTTCCTGTTTGAAGTGCAGTTTTGTGGTCCTGGGGCAGCAGAGCTTGGCTGCAGAATGTACTTCTGTGAAAAGCCAGTTAAATACAGTTCAGATGTAAATGTGTTTGTGATGGGAAAAGAATTGTTAAAAAAAAAAAAGCAAACCAGAACTATACTGGGGCCTTCTCATCTCTGATACATAAAATGGTTAACAGAATTCCCGAGCATGGTTAAAACCACGAGGTTTAAAGACCCTGAGGTTGGCCAACTCCATTTACTGTGCAGCAGCACGCTGTCTCGAATCCTTGTTGCAGCACGCCACCTACCGGCTCTACCTAAGATTGCCTTGTGTGAAGGATTTCTACGTGTGTTCAATGCGTGTTGTTCATCTGGCTTTCCTTTAAAATAATGGATCACCAGAGCTCTGAGCTGCCCACACCTACCAAAAGCCACCAAGTTTAGGAACGCTCACTCTCCCAGTGCTTGCACTACTTCTCAGAGGTGTGGCTTTGGGGGGCTCTGCAGTCCCCATTGTGCTTCTGAACTAGAAATCCCAGACAGTCAAGCTCAGAGCGAAAGTTCTGTTCAAGAGTTGGGCACCATGGGTATAAAGTGTGAAAAACAAGTTTTAAAAAAGGCACAGAGAAGAAGCCTTTTGGTGTTAATGTAGGTAGTTTTCATTCTCGATTTGGTGCTCTTCTAGCTTAGCTGCCTTCTCTTGTCTTTATTAGAGTATTTGAATTATAGGCTTAACCAATTAAAAAATCGGCACACAGATGTGTACAAAGCTGCCTTTCTGCCGTCCCCCACACCACAGCCCAGATGCTCTTGTTCTGTCGAGGGTGTATCATTCCAGGTTTTTCTGTGCATTGGCTCACCTTTTCTCCCCTCCATCCCCCTCCCCTCAGACGGTCACTAAGTGGATACCGAGAATCAGTCATTTTAGAAGTGACCACTTGGGAGTGAGTGCTCAGGAGTTAGATGTGTGGGTGGACAGCGGGTTGGAGTCCTTCCCTTCGCAGTGATGTTTGAGTTTTGCACACCAGACTTTCGTTGTCCACGCATGCGTTCTTCAGCAGAGACGGGAGTCCCCAAGGACAGTATTCGAATTCTCTCACTTCTTCTTCAGTTGTTAGCGACGGTTCTCTCTTGAAAAGTACCCCTTCATCACCAGTGTGGGTACTGGGGTTACAGCTCGAGCAAATCAATGAAACACTGTGGCCGTGCTTTTAGAATTAAAACGGGCCCAGTGTTGTTAGGATTGATGCTTGTATTAGACCTTTGATTCCCCCCCCCTTAAATTCGGATAAGGCATGAAAAATTAAAGAACAGGAGTGATTAGAACATCTGGAGAGGATTAAATAAATACTATCTATTAAGTATGTCGATACATAAATATAGTACTGGCATAATATTAATGTTATGCAATATAGTAATAGACATTTACATTTTAACATATGTTAATATATATTAAATACACGTTTATATAATGGGTTCGTGCAAAATGTTTCCAAATGGATCCTGTGGTCTTTGCTGTTAGCATGCGAAAAAGTCATGGATGGCTGTATGCTCATCAGGTAGCTTTAGAACTGGGACCGGAATGGGGTCCAGAGCCCTTCATCCTAATTACTGGACCATGCTGCTGTTGCCCGTAGTAACGGGGGCATGGTAGACCTAGCCCAGCCAGGAAGCTCCTTGCAAGGTGCAGTTGTAGAAGGCCAGGGTGGGCACTCTTACTAGGTAGCTGTCAGTGATTAAACAGCATCAAGCCAGAGTTTATATTTCAGGGAGTAGGGAACTGTGTCCTCCAAGACTCAGAGTGCCAGCAAAGAGGCAAATGCCAGATGGTCCTCCAAAAATTGGAGCCCATAAGCAAAGTCCTGTGTGGTGTGCAGCGTGCATATCCAAAAAATGACGGATGGTGTTTTGTGAATAGAAGCTTCTTAGAAGGCAAGGACTTTTGAAAGTTGGTGGGCGGGTGTTATTATTATTTTTTTTTAACCACTGGTCTTTTCTCCTGGGATCTTCCCCAAACCTTGTGATAGAGGTGCTAGCATGAAATGACCTGCCCTGAGGCTGAGCTCGATGCCCACTGGCCCCGCCCGAGCTCCCAGGCCAGGGTACTTTGCTTAGAGAATATCAGCGCTTTCATTTAGAAGGACTCTCCACAGCACTGGTTCTCAACCTTCCTCATGCGAGACCCTTTCAGACAGTTCCTCATGTGGTGGTGACCCCCCACCACGAAATTATTTTCATTGCTACTTCATCACTGTCATTTTGCTACTGTGATGATTCGGGCAACCCCTGTGAAAGGGTCGTTCGATCCACAGGTTGAGAACCGCTGCTCTGCCGGAGCCAGCCAACTGGAGTCACTGAGTCTAAGGGGGACTTCCTTCCTTCCCAGAGGCTGTGGGGAGGTGAGGTGGGGCTGGTTGGGGGGCTGCGAGATGATCAGGTCTTGGTGATGTGAACAAGCCACTGCACATCTTTTGTTTGGGGTCCGCTAGGGAGCAGTGGACAGCAGTTGTCCAGCTGACCAGCTGCTAGGCTGGGAACTGGTTAATAATAGATCCCAAGACACAAAAGGGGTTTTCATCGTTCATCATGAAATCATCCCCCTCTCACCGCCTGTTGGGGTTTTGTCTTTGCTGGGATGCGTGTGCGGGTCGCACACCAGTGATTTGAGCAGCCGAGTGTGAAATTGCGTGGCAGATTATAGTGCGCCGTATCGTCGACGTAAGAGGATCATCATTCTGAAGTGCGGGTTAACACAGCTATTCCCATGCGGCCGCGGGCCCAGGAGATGCTTTCTGTGAAAGCAGCGAAGTCCAAGACAGCCCCATGGGCACAGGAATGAGAGGGTGCCGTCGTGGAAGTGGGTGGTGGGCGTGGGGAGTTGTGAAGCGGAAGTACCAGAAGGTAGCCTAGGACCGGGGTCTTTGGCTGCTTTTGCAGGTTGATGCCAGTCTACAATGGGTTGATTTTCCGTCCCGTACCAGGGTGAGCTTTATAAAGACCCTTCTTGCCTCTAACGGAAGCACTGGACCACATAACTGGACTTAGACAGTAGGGGCTGGAGGAAGCTTTGGCATCCTGAGAGATACAGCTGAACGGTGGCCTCGTGCAGACTGGCCAGGAACACAGGAGAGGATGGAGGGGTGGACAGGATCGCAGTGTCCATGTTCTCTGCATTTAGTGAAGGGTTGCTGCATTCCCCAGTGAGGGTAAATGGAAGTCAATGGTCAAGCCAGCTGATGGCCTTCACATGTGAAAAGTATCTAGAAAACAATAACAGGCGGGGGGAGGGGGGGTGCTCAAGAACCCTAGTAGGCATAGCTCCAAAGAAGGAATAGAAATGTTCAGTAAAGGGGGTGGGGGTGGGGTGCGAGTATTGTTTAACATTAATTATTAAGTCATTTTAGAATAAAATTACTTTGAGACTTAAAATTGGCCATGTTCCCATTTTCCCAGGGGCTTTTTAAAGGCAGCCCTGGATACTAGAAGTGTCGGAAACAGTTCTGTTTGACTGTGACAGTGCTCGTAACACACCCCGTGGGCAGGGTCCCTGCGCCTCTCGCTCACCCCGCCACTCTCCCTAGACTACCAGGGCCCCGCGGGAGACTGCGTAGAGGGTGCACCTCGGAGATTGGACGTGCCCAATTAAAAACGGAGTGCGTTCACTCAACCAATGGGTTCACACAGCGGCCCGCTGAATTTGGTGGCGCGGAGCCATGCGTGTTGAAAAGAAAACATTTTCACAGTATTGTCCCATGAAAACGTGAGGGCTAAATATTTGCACACCGCGGTCCCATTAACAAGACGATGTGGAAAGCTAGACGGGAAAGCCGTCACCGTGGTGGTTCTAGGTTGCTCGCCCCGCCCACTTTTCCTGTAATGAACATCAGGAGGAAAGGTGTTTAGCATTCATCTGTAACGTGAACTTCCAGATTGAGTTGCACAGCAAGCTTAAGCACGCTCTGCGACTCAGAAGGGGCTGTGCGTGTTGTTCCAGAAATGTCAGGGCTTATGCATCTGAGTTAGAAACGCTGGCTGACCCTCCTGATTCTGGCGGTGGAGTCTGGCTTTAATTATATAAAACAGCATCTTTCATAGGTAAAGGAAGCAGATTCCAGCCATTCTGGAGGAAGGGGGAGGGCTGGGTGCAGAGGAGCACAAGAGGGGCTCCGTTTGGGTGTTTTCCTAGTTTGTGTCGAACATTACCTAGAGCTTTAGCTGGGCCTTGTCTTGTTTTCCAGGCTCAACACCAGAGCACCCTAGAAAGTTCAACCAAAAGAATGCTAATGTTCGACCCCGTCCCTGTGAAGCAAGAGGCCATGGACCCGATCTCGGTGGTAAGTTTTCCACCTGGAAACACCTTTTCCTACACTGCCCCAAGTGATACAACCTTACTACATGTACGCATTCTTCCTTCACGGTTCTCGTGCCGTGAAGGGGCAGGCTTGTCTCAGAGCCCATGGTAGCAAGTGAGACGGATCCCCTCCCTGCCACCGCCGGGTGTCCCTTCCTTTATGGAGATCCACAGCTCCCTCAGAGGCACACCCCACGTCCCCTGACACGTGACCCACACCAAACTTGGGCCACAGGAGAATCTGGCCCTGCCGAGACGTGTAGTCTTTTGTATGTAAAAATGTAGTGGGGAGGCAGTTGTTTGCAGGCACACCATTGACAGCAGCCTTACGGAGCTGGAGTTGTGTGCGAGCGGACCAGCTAGAGAGAAACCCGCCAGCGCAAGCACTTGGCAGTGAGGGCGGAATTTAGCTTTACTTGGAAGAGTCCGCCTGGGGAGGCGGGTACTTACATGATGTTCATCGCCCCTTTCACCACCTACCTCCCCTCTCCTAAGCCAGCCCAGCTGGGCCATGGGGGCAGGGGGTGGGGGTTAGTCAGGTGTTATTTGGTGCGTATGGTGGTGATGAGACGCAGGTGACAATGGGAAGGAGGCCGGCTTCCAAGCAGGGAGTGGTTTCAGTGGAGAGAGGGTCTGGTTCAGGCGATCTTCCCTGGGCTTGGAAGCTAGTCACAAGGGGGAGAAAGCTTGGCCCGTGTTGTCGATCCGAAAGCTGGTAATGACACGCTTGCGAAATTAGATCATCCTCGTGTACCGGCGGTGGAGGTTCCTGCCAGCAGTGTTTAGACAAGACGTGGGGGTCACTCCAAGGCTCTTGGAACTGGGTTGCTATGGATATTTCCACCCCGGGGGAATGTCTGCGTGCATGCATGCGTGCGTGTCTCGTTCATGAAAAGTTGAGTACAAGTGACTGCCAGGCAGCAGCATCATACCAGCCAGCGTGACAGCGGGACGACTGGGTGTCTGAAGATGGTGGTAACTGAGCAGTCAGTGTTTTAACCCCTAAAAACGTAACCCCTTCCAAAAAAGGACTGGCCAAGTTGCTGGGTGCTGTCTTCATCAGCGCGGGGGGGCCCCCCACCCGCCCCTCCAAAAGCCCTCGCAGGATCGATTCCTTGCCTTGGTCTCATTGTACATACGAATATGAGTGTTTTCTGGTGCCTTCAGAGCGAATCTCCCCCTCGGAGAGCACAGCAGGAGCTATCGGCGTGTAGGGGATGTGGCTGTCTCACTCGGTGCCCTTGAGTTGATGCTGACAGGGTCGGACTGCTCCTGTGTGCTTCGTAGCTCTTTACGGGAGCAGAAAGCGAGCCGATGTCCACGTGAGCCCGCACACCTTTCTCTGCACCTTGAAGGTGGTTTTGGGTGGGTTCCCAAGTTAAAATCTGTAAGGACGGAAAGCAGGATAGACACCCATTTCACAGGTCCAGTGGGGGTGGGGCTCACGTGCAAAGATGCTGCTGACCACAAGGGTGGCATTTCCCCTGCACCTCCAGGTGCCTTGACAGAAAGGCTGGATGGTGTACCCTTGAAAAACCAGCCATTGTGGCTGATTGTTGCTGACACATGCGGGGGTGGGGGGTGGGGGGGGTGTCGGCATCACTGAACCTGAATCAATGGTGACTGGTTCCCCCCGCGTCCCCAGGTCTGTGCTGGGGTCTCTGATGTTCCTTAGCTACGTGGCAGTGACCACATTACCACCAGCCCTCCAGCCTCCACACCTCTAAACCCGGAGCTTTTCAGGTGTAAACTTGGAGACAGCCTGTGCGTGTAACATGCCCCCGTGAAGGAACGGATTTGACCAGCACGGTCCCTCAGAGACTGAATATTACAGGGCAGGAGTCAGGAAGGGAGGAGGAGAATAAGTTGTCCAACAGGTACTACGAGGTTGTTTCTGACCCATGGCGACCTACATGCACAACGACGGCACACCACCCACCGTGTCCTGCCCCCACACCACCCACCGTGCCCTGCCCCCACACCACCCTCCGTGTCCTGCCCCATCCACAATTCTGCCTGAGCCCATTGTTGCAGCCACACTGTCAATCCAGCATGTAGAACAGGGTCTTCCATTCTTAGGCAGCCCCTCTACTTGACCAAGCATGATGTCCTTCTGCAGGGACATGTCCAAAGTTCATAAGACAGAGTCTCGCCGCCCTTGCCTCTAAGGAGCACTCTGGACGTACTTCTCCAGAGACAGATCGGCTTGCCCTCTTAGCAGGACCGGGTATTTTCAACTCCAGCACCGCAAGTCACATGCACCCGTTTGTCTTTGGCCTTCCTGATTCAGTAGTCAGCAGCAGCCTCTCTTTTAGCTATACCTCTATACCTGTAGGAGTATTACTTTTTTAACCAAAAATCATTTCATTAGGACACAATCCAGACATCTTAAGATTCGATAGTTAAGTCACACCAAGAAGCATTGTATAATCGCAACCACACTCAGTTTCAAATCATTTTCTTCCTTCTTGTACTCCTTGTTATTCGTTCCCTGTTATGCCCCCACCTCCGCTGCTGTGACCCCCGGAAGCCCCTTAGTCTAGTTATTGTCTCTATAGCTTCTCCCATTGTGGGTCTCATGTACTGAAAAACATGGGAAAATATATAACAGAGTGAAGAAGGCTGTCAATAATAACAAAACACAACAGAGATAAACCCTCATTTGAAACAAAACAAAATATTAAAAACCAGAGTAAACGCAAAGTGTGTCAAAATAGAGATCAAATGATAAAAGGTTGTAACCGTTCAACTCCGATATTTTCATTTTCATCCACTATAGTCTCTACAGTACTCTGCGTCTGATAAACAGGCTAGTCCTGTCCCTTGATTATGGTCCGAGGGGAATCGCAGGAGGCTTATTCCATGTGTAGACCCTGCAGCTGGATTTTGGGCTTCCACTGTCACCCATAGCCTTCTGCAAACCAGGAGTGCACAATCCTTTGGGTTTATATTATATTATTTTTATATATTATATTATTTACAAGAAGTTGACTTTTAAAGAAAGCTTGCTCCTCTTTTTCTTTTTTGTTTCTTTCAACGACAACTGCCATCTCACCGACTCCTTCCAGATGGAGTCTCTCAGCCCTGGCCTAGTCAAACCTTCGCGGGACTTTTACAAGTCTCATAGAAAACCGCCTTCAGCATTTGTTTGCATGGAGGGGCAAGATCCTGGCTGTTTCCAGGGTGTTCGTTTATAGATGAATCCCACCCGCCCGCTCCGGGAGCCCCACCCTTGCTGGAAGATTCCTTGGACTTGCTGTCCTGCTGTCCCAACTGTCGTTTTCATCCCCCCGCCCCTCACATCCAAGAAGCGGGGAATGGAGACTCTGTTCCCCTTGGCCGTGGCCCTACCTGCCTTGAGCCATGGAAAACTCACTCACCAATTCCTCATGAAAAAGACACTGTGGAAGTTCTCACTTCGCTACCAAGTATCCGCTGGAGGGTTGGGGAATCTTCCAGACCCCGGGCCCTTTCCCCCGTTACAGTCATTTCTTTCTGAGTCAGAAGGACAGCCATATCCAAGCCCGAGCCTTGTGGGTAGTGAAGCCTTGCCAAGATAGCTGTGCTACTTTGCTGATTGCCTTCATGGAGTGCTCGGCTGGCATTCCTGTGAGAGCAAGTAGTCATTGATAGGACTCGGGTCGGGGTGGGTTACAGCTGAACACTTGTCACTACAGACATAAAGACCCCTCTTCCTAATAATCCCTTTTGAAGACCTGGTAGCATACTGGTGGGCTACTAACCATAAGGCCAACAGTTCGAAACCACCAGCTGCCCTGCATGAGAAAGATGAGGCTTCCTAGTCCCGTAAAGAGTTACTGTCTTGGGCAGCTGTGCATCGGAATCAACTCATAGCAGTGAAGGTTGTTTTGTTTGCTTGCTTGCTTTTTAAATTATAACCCGTTACCATCCTTAAGGGCTTCTTCCTGGGTAGAGAAGTACTTGACTAATAACAGAAAAATTGGCTGTTTGAACCCATTTGTGTTCAACCCATTGTGTGTTTTTCCGGGTGTACTAGAGAAACAAATTCATAGACATTCTTATGTGTATAAGAAAGAGCTTTATATACAAGAGCAATTGAATGTTGAGAAAACATCCCAGCCCAGATCAAGTTCATAAGTCCGATATTAGCCCATATGTCCGATACCAATCTATAAAGCCCTCTTCAGACTCACACAACACATGCAATGATGCTGAGTGCAGGAAGATCACAGGCCAGTGGGTGGAAAGTCTTGTGATCGGTAGTGGAAGCATCTCAGCACTGACAGGGGTCTCCATGTGGCTCCTCCAGCTCCAGGGCTCTGGCTCCATCAGTGTAGCTCCATGTGCCTTGTCAGCAGGAATATGTAGCTGAGAGAGAGTGTCTGTCCTCCAGCGAGCTATTTATCTCCATCATGCCTCCAAATGAGGTCATCAAACTGTGACCTGATTGACAGGCTAGACTCCACCCCCTCACTCTTAATAGTCTCAAGTTGATACGAGATTATCCACCTGGGAAGAAAAACCCGATGATCTTTGCTTCCAAAAAGAATAAACAGCCAGAAGGCATCTTGCCATCACGTTGATGCTGACTCATGGCAACTCCCGCTAAAATCCCAGTGGAGCACACTGATTTCCTGACACACGTGGGGTTGCCAAGGGTTGGCTCAACAGTGGCAACTGGAGTGCGGCATGCCCGTGTGTGTGTGTGTGTGTGACCCTTGCCGTGTGGGTGGGGAGGGGGCCCTTGCTCTATCTGTCTTCAGAAGTACCTCTGCTCCGGGTTGCAGGTGTCCTCCGGTGCACAGGTGCTGGCTGTGCAGAGCACGTGATGTGGCCATTCGTGGCTTTGTGGCAGGCCCTCTGCGGGTCAGTGTCAGCTACGAACGACCCCATGTGACAGAGCAGGACTGCTCCACAGGGTTTTCTAGGTGGCCCCCGCAGGGACGCTGATGGCAGGTCTCTCCTCTAGGAGGGTTTGAAGGGCCAACCTGTAGGTTAGTTGCCGAGTGCTAAACCACTGCGCCACCAGGGCCCGTCCCTCTGGGGCAGAGGTGCCTGTTCTGATTAGGATCTGAGCTGGTGCTGCCACACTGGTTTGCGCTGCTTTGTTAGAAGTCAGGAATGGCCTGAAACAGGAGAAGCCTGACTGGCGTGTCCTCGCCCATGGTGGCCACCCCCAAGTGAGTCCCAAATCAGCCTGTACACGGAGGCGAGCCGGGTTCCTGCAAGCTGAGCCCCCCACCCCCGCCCCTCAACATCATTGACATCCCTGTTTCTCATGTCCGGTTCTGACGGCCTAGGCTGCGAAATGTGCTCAGGAGGCAGTGTGAGGGACCGGTTGGGTGGAGCAGCCTGACTGGGAACAGTTAATTATCTGAAAGCGTCTCCCTGCATTGCATCCGCGTCTGGCTCCTCAGTCACCCCACAACCAAAGCAGAGGGGTGGCTCCGCCTGGTGAGAGCGACCGCTCAGAAACCTGAGCATGTTAGTATGAACATTTGCAAATCTCCCAGGTTTCCTAAACTCACCCTCTGGATAAAACTTTGAGAAAAAAAATCCAGCAATGACAACGATAAGTGAGTGTCCTTATTCTGCTCCCATCTCCCTGGCACAAGTGGTTGGCATTACAATCTAGGCCATGGGGAGGTCCTCGAAGAACAAGGCTGAAGGTACATTTTGATGGCGTCTCAGCAGTTCCTGGATGCTGCCTCCGCTTTCCTGAAGATCTGTCTTACCTCTCTGATCGGCTCTTATAAAGCAGGTTGAACTTGATGGACCTAGGAGCCTCTCCTCCCCACCCCCTGTGTGCAGATTTTTTAGCTTTCCTTAGACCTGGTGGCATAGTGGTTAAGCATTGGGCTGCTAACCACAAGGTCTGCAGTTCAGAACCATCAGCCGGCTCTGTGGGAAGACAAGGCTTTGTACTCCCATAAAGAGGGCTAGTTTCAGAATCTCACAGGGTCACTTCTACCCTGCCCTGTCTTGGGTTGCTGTGAGTCAGCATTGATTCAATGAGTTTGGTGTGGTATGCCCCTGCTTTATATAAACACAGACAAGAGGTGGCCTTGGATGGCACAAACGGTGACCGTGCTTGGCTGCAGACTGAAAGATTGGGCAAGTTCACCCACAGGGGCAGCGGAAGTAAGTCCCGGTGTTCGGATCCCTGAAACACCCATGGAGTGTGAGTGCCTTTCTGCCTTACACAGTATTGATGCAGGGCAGCCGGCCGCAACAATCCCACGGTGTGGCCACGGGGGTGGGGTGGGGGTTGGGGGTGGGGGGTTGGATGGTGAGGCTCCGTAGTGGGTGTTCTGGGTCTCCTCGTGAATGAGGATCGCCTACATGCCATAAGAGCATGACTGTGGGAGCTGAAGGGACACACACACACTGTCACCAACCCCACCACACATTCCAATAGGAGTGGCTCGACATCGTTAGGTGGGCTTGGAGTGTGAACACCCAAAATGTCGGCTTTCCTCAGGTGACTACCCTATAGCAAGGAAACCGTTTCCGTGGCTTAGTTTTTCACAACTTAAACATGTTAGAAGGGGCTTCCCACTCCCGTGAAGCGTCCCGGTCTCAGAAACCCACGGGGGCAGTTCTGCTCTGTCCTGCAGGGTCACGGTGGGGGTGGGGGGGATCGACTCGGTGGTGTGTTTAGTTTTCAGAAGGCATTAATTGTTAGAAGGCATTCAACAACTTTTTTTTTCTGCAATAGAAGTAACATTAGTGAATACCATGGCCAGAGGATGGTATCCACAAATTGGTTGCATTTGTGACTGGTTGATGGTGGTGTCAGGCATAAATCTGGTAGCTGGAGCAGACACACTAATAGCATAAGAAAGGAAGGCGTATTGGAGACCATGGGGAACCACGTGGAGGAGGCCTTGGCTTTGGGGGGAAACTGACCAGCCTGGTTCTCTCCCTTTTTTCCATCAGTTTTATTGGCATATAATTCACAGCCTGCGATTCATCTGTTCAGGGCACATCAAGAAGAGCTGCACAAATCGGATCGCATTCTAAAGCCCACATGACTGCAAGTGCTGATTGCAAACGTTTGCCTGAGTTTGTGTTTCGGGCACGCGTCTCTTAGATCATGAGGTATCTTCTTATCGGTTGATGGTTTTCTTTCTTCTTCTGCTTGCTGCTAGTCCTACCCGTCGAATTACATGGAGCCCGTGAAGGCCAACAAGTACGGAGTCATCTACTCCGCGCCTTTGCCGGATAAGTTCTTCCAGAACTCGGAAGGCCTGTCCCATGTGCAGCTGGAGCCTGTGGACCTCACCGTGAACAAGCGGGGCTCGCCGCCTGCGCCCGGGGCCTCCCCTTCCTCCCTGAAATTCCAGCCGCCGCACCGCCGCGCCTCGCCCGGGCTGAGCATGCCTCCTTCGAGCCCCCCGATGAAGAAGTACTCGCCCCCGCCAGCCGGCGTGCAGCCCTTCGGCGTGCCGCTGTCCATGCCCCCGGTCATGGCCGCCGCGCTCTCCCGGCACGGCATCCGCAGCCCGGGCATCCTGCCCGTCATCCAGCCGGTGGTGGTGCAGCCTGTCCCCTTCATGTACACAAGCCACCTGCAGCAGCCACTCATGGTCTCCTTGTCCGAGGAGCTGGACAATTCAAACAGCAGCATGCAAGGTACGTGCCAGCTCCCCGGGCAGCCTGGGGAGGAGGCCCAGAGCCTGGGAAGTCCCCAGAGGAACAGTGCCTTATAGACTTGGCCTAATGCTGTGTTATTTTGGGGGTGGGGGTGAGGGGAGCTCCCAAGAATCAGGCTCTCGTTGTTTAGTCCTGCGAGATGATGACTTTCAGCGTAGGACTGGCAGGTCTGGCTTTGTAAGAAGCTTAGCTTGAAGCTGCTCCGCTGGGTGCCAGCGTGGTTTTAGGTGCGGGAAAAGCCTTTCACAAATGCATTCTGACCGGTGATCGGTGATCAGTCATGACTGGATACAGCCGTGTGTATCAGCTGGTCGCAGAACTGTCGGGCTGCAAGGACATAACTAAAAGTTGTCCTTAGAGAAAGGCTATTGGGGGGCGGGGGGTCATATGCTGGCGAAATAAGAATTCCCCTTAAATTTCATTCCTGCGTGACTTCTGCCAGAGGCAAATAAACAGCGCGCCTGTTTTGTAGCTGCGAGGCATGCCATGATAAGTGAGTTGTACCCGGAGTGTGACGCTGTCCGTTTTTATTTTTTCAGTACCTGTAATCGACTCCTATGAGAAGCCTATATTACAGAAAAAAATTAAAATAGAGCCGGGGATCGAGCCACAGAGGACAGACTATTATCCTGAAGAACTGTCACCCCCTTTAATGAACTCAGTGTCCCCCCCGCAGGCGTTGTTGCAAGAGTAAGTATCTACAGGTCCACCTGACCTTTGCGTCATGGCGTGCAGCCCAGAACCCGGGGGAAAAGAGCCCATGTCACGCATGTAACAGGTAGGGGGTGCCAAGAAGGCGTTGGTGCCTGGGCAGCAGTTGCTGGGCAGTGTGACACCCCTGTGCCCGCTGGCCAGGGCTCTCCCAAACTGGCATCTTGGGTCACACAGACTGCAGCCATGTCACCTTCCCTGTCCAAGCGTCCCTCGCGGTCTTGCTGCCTCGTTCCTTGTAAATCCTTTTTATTTGGCTGTTCTATGTTTCCCCCATCCTTTGCACATGGCTGTGACACTAACGGGTGAATTGGGTGTCCTAGCACCCCACGTCGAAGGCCGTGCCTTGAGAACGTCTCGGGTGGTGGACACACGGTGTCTTCCTCGTGGTCGCTTCTCAGTCACTTACGGGGCGTGTCTTTAATCAGTCATCAGGCTGACCACAGGGTCGAAAGAGACTCCAAAACAAGTCCTGTACTAGTGGTGGCCACGGCACGTGGTCTGTAGTTCGGGGTGGCTCCACATTGAACAGGAGTCTTGATTCTCGGGGCATTTCATCTGACCTGCCTGCAGCGTGTCTGTCACCCTCAGACCGTGCCCTCCAGAGAGAAGGTGTGCCACGTGGGACAGCTCCCCACCCCCACCCCCGAGCGGTCGGTGGAGGCGGCAGGCACCGTTGCCCATATTCTTGATGTAACCAGCAATGTCGCTGGAGGCTGCTGCCACCGCTGAGGAGGCGACGTCCAGCTCCGCTCTGCGCCGTGCACACCTGACCTGGCCTTGGGCTACTCGCTTAATCCTCTTCGTTATCGATTGTCATTATTATTATTTGTTGTTGCTATTGTGTTAACGCTGCTGTCCACGTTGGATGCGGTGCCTGGCTGGCCTCCTGGTGCAGAGGGAACAGGTAGCAGCATGCATCCTTGCGTGCGTACCTGCCTCCTGCCTCTTCCTCCCTCCCCTCTCCCTCTCCCTCACAGACTTAGCTCTGCAGCCGAGCTGGGACCTCAAGCCCAGAGCAGCGGTTTCCTGTTAGCTTCCCAGGGGCTCTCAGGACCAGAACTCACTGCCATCGACTCAGTGCCTACTCCTAGTGACCCTGTAGGTCAGGTGGCACAGCTCCTATGGGTGGGTGTCTAACACTGTAATTCTTGATGAGTTGGCCTCCTTCCAACCACATGTAATACTTGTCTGTTGTGCCAGGTCGTCATCAGCTTGGGGTTTGTTTGTTTGTTTGTTTGTTTGTTTTGCTTATCTGCATTACTTAGCACTGCTGCAACAGAAACATCACAAATGGAGAAATTTCCTTTCCCACAGCACAGGCAGCTCGAAGTCCATATTCAGGGGACCAGCTGTAGGGGGAAGGTCCCTGACTCATCGGAGCTTCTGCTCCTGGGAGATCATGCGATGGCCGGGCATCCGTCTTCCCCCATCTCTGCTTCCTCCCTTGCTGGTCGACTCCCTACTGTGTCTTGAGAGAGGTGCGCCCTACATACGCTCCTCCTGCTTCATGCACATAAATTGAGCCCCGGCCCCGTGGACACAAGAGGTTAGGATTTACACCCCTCATTTCAGGGGGACACAATTCAACCCCTAACAGGTGTCTAGATCCACTTGCAGGTGAAGACACGGGGCTGAAGTTTTTTACCCAGGCGCATTAGCTGGTGGGGAGGAAAGGTCTCTCAGGCAGTGATATGTGACTACAACTGTGCAGGGCCCTCCTCCTCTTGGAGGAAAAGAAAAGACACAAAACACTTCCACGTGTTCCCAAAGGAATGAGTTTGTGTTATTCCCCTTCCTTCACAAGCTTGCAAGAGTCCCAATATAGAGGGAACCGATAAGCCAAGCCATGAAATAGCTCACCTGTTGTTGCCACCACACTGCCCGCAGATCCCTGGGTTACATTCACTCAGAGGTTGGCGGCCCAGATCTACCCTGAGGCGCCTTGGAAGAAAGGCCTGGCAGTCTCCCTCTCCAAGGACACAGCCGCGGAAACTGCTCTGCAGCACAGTTCTGCTAGAAGCTCAGCGTCAGCTCCAAGGGGACCCACTCGGTGGCAGCTGGTTGGTTAGGTCTTGGTGGTGGAGCTGAGTCACATGATGAACAACAGGGAGGGGAGGGACCCGCGCTTCCAGCGCCCGCCATCCTCACTGACGGCATCTGTGAGCCTGCCCTCTCTCGGGTGACAAGAACCATGGCACACCTGCACAAAATGTACACTCTGATGGAGGGAGAGGGGGCCTCTTCTCTGGGCAAGAAACTAGCAACCCGGCCAACACTTGTAATTTGTCCTTGCCCTGGTGAGGGTGCCGTTGCTCTAAAACTAAATGTAGCCAGCTACCCACCCAGGGACCCAGCGGCTGGAAGGGGGCTAGGGCGTTAGGCGGTTACCATGTGAAGCAACCCTGCAAATGGGTGGAAGGCAGTTTGCAGCCCGGACCGCTGCTGTAAAGGAAATGCTTTCTCCAGGTGTACTGAGATCTGTGCTTTCCACGGTCCCCCTCCAGCCCGGGGAGCATGCTCATTTTCATGCTGACAGAAAATCCAGCAGATTAGCCACAGCCGGCCACGTCCTTGCGAACATCATTCCCTGACAGATTCGAAGATGTGCTTGCGTCATGTCTTGGAGGGTACCCAGCAGCAGCCCACAAAGGAAGCCAGCTAGCCAGGAAAGGATCACTTGAAACCGAGCAAGAAGGAGGCCCCAGTCCTACTGGCCTTAGGCAATCCTGCCCCCCAAAGGGCAGGCCTGTGGAATCCATTTGCTCCGTCACAGACTTAGCTATGAGGGCACTGACATGTGCATCTGCCCCCCACCCCCCATCCCACATGGAGCGTGTGTGAAAATGCATTTAGAACAAAAAGACCCAATTTCCCTCTTTGACTGTGTATGAGTTGTAGCAAATTTAAAAGGTCAGCTTGGCCTAAAACCAGTACGAGGTTTTTTATTTTTTTTTAAAGCGAATCCAACCTGTCGATTACAAGGATCCCAAAGAGCGTCTAAAACCTGAGGAGCCCAGAAAATGTGAGATCCTCAGGCCCTCCCTCTCCGGCACAGCCTACACCATCAGCCATCCCCCAGGGGGGAAGCCCAAGCCCTCTGTCACAGGGTCAGTCCAACTCAGAGCGGCCCTGGGAGGACAGAGTAGAACTGCCCCGTAGGGTTTCTCAGAGGCTGTTAATCTTTATAGGAGCCGACAACCTCATCTTTCCTCCTGAGGAGGGCCGGTTACACTTGAACTGCCAACCTCATAACCTCGTTCACGAGGTAGGCATAACTATGCTCTGGTGGAGAACCCTCCGGGAATATCATCATCCACATTCTGCAGAGAGGACAGGAGGCCAGAGGGCTGAGCACCTCATCAAGTGCTGCACACGAAGCTAGGTCTTGAGCGCGGAAACACCCAGCCTGCTAGAGCCCCTTTGCAACGGAGGAAGCAGCTGGAAAGAGCAATGTGCATGACCGCCCAGACGCCCACCCCAGACCCCGCCCATTGGGCGCCACTGCTGCAGTCGGAACTTACCCCCAGGCCCCAAAGGCAGAAGCAGATCTAGCCAACCAGTCAACCAGCAGAACTAGCCGTCTGGGCAAACACCAGGCGGGCCTACGAAAGAGCAGTGGTGCTCGTGAGCAGCAAGCCATCAACCATCCAAGACTGCGAGGGGCAGCATTTGCCCAAAACCAGAAAGAAGGACAAATGGGAACGGAGCCCCGGGAGGAAGCAGGACAAGCGCTGTTCCACTGAGGGGGAGGCGGCAACACCAAATGCAGCTGTGGTGCTGAGTGGAAAACAGGCGTCCTGTCAACTCTTGTGGACCCCACAAATGAAAATACACTGGGGGGTGGGGTGGCACACATCTTGTCTGTCTGTAAACCTCAGACTTCTTTACTCCGATACCTTGTCTAAACAGATATATCATCAAAGTCTCTGTTCTTATTTGTTTGTTTGTTTATTTTTGCCCTCAGTATTTCACCTTCGGTTTCCCATGTATCAAAACGAGGCTTTTTTAAAATCCAGGACAGGGAGGCGAAGTGATAACCCCAAACCGGGAGTTTTCATTCGCAACCAAAGGGTGAGAAATGTTAGCAAGTGTTCTAGAGTAATGGCATCTCCTCTCGTCTTACCGCTCACTAGCATGCCCAAGAAAGCACACAGCACCACTGGTAACGGGAGTTGCGACCAAGGTTTTAAAACCACGACCAAAAGCAAGTTGCACTCCACGAAGCCCCTGTTGATTTTGTTTTCCTAAGAGCTGCATTTTCACATCCCTTCTGTACCTCCTAAGCATGGGTATCTGTTCTCCTGGAACCTGGATCTTCCCCCAAGCAGTTTTCGTACTTGGACCAGATACTCACTCAGGATGGTGCGGTCGTCTACTGCAACTCCAAAGTTCCACGAGAAAGGAGCCCTTCACGGGTTTCAGGCCAAACACTTAACTTGTTTTGTGTCGAGTAATTAATCGAAAGGAGAGCAAGAGTACAGATTCTGGCTGTCATCGAGTTGATTCTGGCTCCTAGCACCCGGCAGGACAGGCTGAACCACCCTGTGGGTCTCTGAGGCCGCCACTTTATGGGGGTAGAAACCCCATCTTCCTCCGGAGGAGTGCTGATGTTCTGAAGTCACCGTGGGGTGGCAGCCCAACGTGTAATCCCAGCGCTCCTTGGGAATAGACTGCGCCCTTCCAATACCCTCCACGCCCCCATCGGAAACGTGAAGGAACTTGGCCTCCATCTTCCTCCCTCCCCCCTTTTCTAAAAGAGAAAATGGATCATCGTGCCACTTCACAGGGGCAGATTTCAAGCCCGCCCTGGGAGGCGTGCGGGACGCAGGCACTGGGTCGGGGAGACCGGGGAGGTCACGGGAAAAGGGCTGAGTCTGGGACGCTGCCGACGCCAACATTTCCTTGGTTTCTGGAGGCAGCCGCGTTCCTCCTGCCGTCTGAGACTCCTACTAGGTGTCTGTCATGTGAAGGACCACAAACCCGTCAGCCCCACCACGGTGACTGCATGGTGACCCTTTTCCACCCTCCCCCGTAGGGCCCCAAGGAGCATCCCAGGGCATTAGCATGGGCACTGCCTTGCACACCCAGAGCTCTCTACTGAGGCGTGAGCCTCCTTGGGCCCTGGGCCCCCCTCCTGCGCAGCACCGCCCGCTTCTTGCTGTCCTGACTTACCGACGTGTCTGTCTCCCCCAGAGTGTGAGCTCCTCCAGGGCAGGACCCCTGTTTTTATGCATCTTGGTGTCCTGGTGCCAAGCACGGCGCCTGGCTCCGGGTAGGTGCTCCGTACCTGTTTGTTGAATGCCTGGCAGCGCTGCTTGGGTGGACGAGCGCATTTCAGTTTTCGCTTTCTGTTCCTTTCGTTGGGGTGTTGGCTTCCGTCCTCGTTTTGTTGCGTTTCGGCCGTGTTGTTTGAATGCTCTCGGTAGACAAGGAAGAGCCCGTTGCCCCACGTCTCACGTCTCACATCGGCTCTTGCAGGAATCACCCCTCCGTCATCGTTCAGCCGGGGAAGAGACCGCTGCCTGTGGAGTCTCCAGACACGCAGCGGAAGCGCAGGATACACAGATGCGACTACGACGGGTGCAACAAAGTGTACACGAAGAGCTCCCACTTGAAAGCACACAGGAGGACGCACACAGGTATTCCACACGCACGCGGCGGCGGCGCCGGCTGTTGATGATGCCTTTGACCCGTTCGGAGTCAGCCTCCGTAGACACAACAACACAACACCCTGCCTGCCGGGCGCCCATCCCCACACTGGTTCCGACAGGACAGGACGTTGAGCCCTTGGCGTCCGTTGCTATGGGTCAAAGTGGAGTCAAGGCCGTGAGGATCAGGGGGAAAATCTCAGGCGCTGAGAAATCGCCTTAGTTGTCTGTAGATGCCTCTACTGGTTTCGAAGAATGACTTTCTTGATAAGGACCCGCCTTTTTAATACTTGGGAGGCGATTCCAGACCATATATGTAACCGGGTCTTTCGCGATCACTTGCCCTCCCTGTCGTGAGGGAGACGAGGGGATTGAGTCTCTGCCGGAGCCAACACACGGTCCTCTTCAGGGTGGCCAAGGACAGTTCTTGGTGCAGAGCCAGTGACCACCACTGCTGAGTAGAGAAGAGACGCAGACAGGAGCGTCTCCATGCATGTACCTTGTCCCTAACAGCTCCCCTCCGTGTGCACCCTCGGAGTGCGGGACTGTGGAGGTACTGGGGAGGGAGGCAGGGAGGTGAGGGCGAGGAAGTGCAGTTTCTCAGTGAGTCCTGGCTGGAGGCAGAGGAGGCTTGCTGGTGTGCCACCGTGACCCTGGACAGCTGAGGTGGTGCTTCCAGACAAAAGCAGTGGCAGCTGATGACAGCACACTGTGAGGACTGGTACTATTTGTGAATGCGCCTGCATGTCCTGTTTGTGGTTTATAAACACACTGGTGCCGAGGGCTGACTGGATGGCCATTTCTTGGAAACATGGCTTGCTCAAGAGCTCAGTGTGCCCAAGCCTTCCCTCCGCTGCCTTGACTAAGCAATAGCCCTCTGCCTGCAGAAAACCGTAGCTCTGTTGTCTTTCCCTTTGCAGGCGAGAAGCCCTACAAATGTACCTGGGAAGGCTGCACATGGAAGTTTGCTCGGTCTGATGAACTCACCAGACATTTCCGGAAACACACTGGCATCAAACCCTTCCAGTGCCCAGACTGTGACCGCAGCTTCTCCCGCTCCGACCACCTCGCCCTACATAGGAAACGCCACATGCTGGTGTGAACGCCACCATCCCTGCCTCCTCGGCGCAACGCCCCACCCTCCTGGCTCTCTCTCTGCCCGCCTGCCCATCACCTAACTCATTTTTTACATGTACATGTTCATTTGGATTCAGCTGGTCTGAATCTTGGAATTTATATCATTCAAACTTCCGTACGGTCATTAGCAGATCTTCTCTAACCCTCCTCCTCCTCACCACGGGTCAGACCTAAAGAATGTGAACACTTTTGTTTTGTTTCGTTGTTTCCTCTTTCCCCCGGGGATGCTAAGCAAACCCTTCTTACACATACGTTTAATGTACTAAGAACAAGGGAACTTGTAAACTAACATAACCAGTTGTTGGCCTCTCGATGTATTCCTCAAAAGAATGTCAAAGTAAATGTATTAGAAATACAGTATCCAGCCTGCTAGTCCTTGCCAGAGACTTAGACCTGTGTTCCCATGGTGGGCTCCGCGGTGGAAAGAATGGCGGATCCTCCCAACACTTGGTTAGCTAGACGCGCAGTGAGAGGTCAAGCTAATTCCGTCCGCGCTTCCGCTGCCCACCACGAGTCTTGCTGTCCGACCTGGATTTATCGCTGCATCTAAATTGAGGCGTCACCCTCCGTTGGTCCAGCATTCGTTTGGAGGTCTTTGCCACCATTGGGAGGTGAGCCAAAGTTGCTGCTTTAGGTGGGTGATGCGTCCCTGCTGGGCCACCTTGACTGGGTCGATGCTGTGGTACACACCATGGAGTTGGAGCCAAGGGGCGCTGAGCGGGCGTCAGCAGAGGCAGACAGAGGAGGGAGCCAGCCATTCTTTCCGGGCTCTGGGTTTTCGGCGGGATTTCCACATTGGGCCGGCTGTGCGTCGCCTCAGCCCAAAGCTTTACTCTGTACACATAGGGCGACACTGCCATCCAAATGCCGATGGGGTGACCATACGACCGTCTCTGTTCCTTACCACGAAAACCCGAGCATTTTCCCTGGAGGCAGCACAAAGGTATTGACCTAGTCGTGATAAGAATCGTTTAGGTAAATATGCGCATGGTCTTTTTTGACCCAACTAGCTAACAGGGAAATCTTGGTACTTAATTCCCACCTCAAATGAATCATGTAGCCTCTCGAGAGAAACTCTTCGGTGTGAGCTGGAAGGAGCCAACTTGACTGCCGTTTGTGTTGTGGAAACACATTAATCAGCATCCACTAAGGCTGTAGTAGTTTAATTGGATCTAAGCCGCGGGTTACAGGATTTGCAAACGGAACAGTGAGGAAGCAGCACACAGCTTGCTTTGTGGGACAGGTTTCTTAAAAAAAAAAAAAAACACACCGGGAAAACACAGTTCAGGGATTCCCGGGTGTTGCTCCAAAATCCCCCAAAGTGGGCTATCGGTTGGAGTTGTCAGAGGAACAAACCAGAAGAACCAGCTCCTGTTGGAAGTCACGGCGCCACCGTCGCTGGGGGAAGGTTTTCATTCAAAAGCAGGCTTTTGAGTCCGTCCCGCCATCCAGATGCCAAGAAAAGGAATTCACGCGTCGAAATGCCCTTGGTCCTAAAGTCACAGAAAGTGGGTACCCGTAACCAAACAGACCTTCGTCCCTTGAGAAAGGATGCGGGAGGAGAGAGAAGACAAGACGACTCCTGCAGGTTCATCGCAGCCACAACTCAGGATCCAGCTCAACCGGACTGGGAGCCGTGCGTTGTGAGTCGTCGTTTGATCCAACAACCGGGAAGGAGCGGAGGCCCGTGGGTGGCGCGGGGAGCTTGCTTCGGGGCTGCCACGCTACTACAGGGCCGTTAACGGAGCTTTGCTCCTGAGACCTCACCCGCCCCGCCCTGGGAACTCCTGCAAGGAAATGACGTGGAGAAACGAGAGAAGCCATGTGATACCTGGCACTTGGGTTTGATTTGCTTTCTTTTTTTTTAAGCGCTGCAAATTGATCTTTCGCATCTTAGAGGGCATCCTGATTGAGTTGTCTCTTTTGTTGTAACTGTGTCACCAAGTGAGGGATAAAAGTGGAGAAACAGGCAGCATTGTGTGCATTGCCCATGCTTAGTCACGCTCTGCCCGAAGCGTCCCCGTCTCGTTCTAACACAAGGGACGGAAGCATCTATGGAATGTAAGGAACATGTTTGCTTGGACAGGGCTAGCCAGTTCGTGTGTCCGACCGTGTGGAGGAGGAAGAGAAGGGGCAGGCAGAGAGGACCGTGGTCTTCGCCTCGAGTCTGAGTCGAACGATAGAAAGCTTCATGGGTCCCCATGCACTTGAATGGGTTTGCTATAGCATGTTTAGATGATGTTCAAGAGAGCGAGGAAGACCCAACCCTCGCCCTGGCACTACCGGACGGCTTGGCTGATGTGAGCAGTTCCTTGGCAAAGGTCCATTTTCACACGTTGAAAAGAAAAGCACCCCGAGCCCATGGGCTACCCCATGCTGTTCTCTGGGCTTCAATTTCCCAATGGTGCTTACCAAATGTCCCTTCTATGTATATTTGTATTCTACCGTGATAGTTGAGAAATTCAGTCTCTTAGTCATTTTTAGCTGTGACTGTGGAAGACCTCAAACACAAGATAGTCTTAGGATGCCCTTGAGCGTGTGGTTTTCATGGTGTGCCATTGCTGCCCGTCAGCAGTGGTTTAATGGTCAAGTGGTGAGGATATAAAACACGAACTCAGCATCATGTCACTTCTGTTCATTAATAGGATTTCTTGATTATTTTTACCTGGGTGCCACCTTGGGGAAGCGGTCTGAGCAATTCGATCGGCACCCATCCTGTTTTCGTTTTACAATGTGAATCCACACCGTACATGGGCATTAATGTAAATCGCGTTGTTTGGCAAAGGTGTTTCTCGGCACAGCTCAGTTCAATTAAGGAGATGCTAGATCGCAGAAGTTTCGAGAGCTTTTGAACAGAATTGACAGGGGGACTAGAGAAGTATGTCTATTTTATTTTGTTAAACACCCATCTGCACAATCAGTATTGCACTAATGTGGAATTTCGAAGGCTGTACAGCTGATAACTGTGTATCTGCACGTCATTCCCGGTGAGATTGTTTTAAACACAGCCTCCTGAGAGCTGTGACTCAACAGTGATTCGGTCGGTTTGGAAATACAGAGCATAGTCTTGAAGGAATTCCTGTCACACATGAAGTGGCTGCAAGTTTGTCTTTATTCTTGCGTCGAGGTTAACAATTCCTAAATGATTGCAAATTTACTTAAGAAATAATACATTTACAAAGCCATCCTACGTGCATTAAACGAGGGCTACAACAATATTATGTTTTACAAATAATAGCACTTTTTTTTTTTTTTGCTGTTATGTACTTAGTGTTAGAGGGTCAAAATAATCTTTTCTGCTTAGCATCTCTTAAACCAGACCTGCAATGTAGCAGGGTTTTACATTTACAGTACTTTAATACTTGTATAAACTATGCAGAAATTTTTAATAAAGTGTAATATATTTTATAAGCTAATAAGACTGAATGGGTAAAGGTTTTTAGCATGCATTAGTATACTTGCAGATACTGAAACATTTTGGTAATCTTTCTTACTAAAGATGTGAATGTTTAATGTACCTTCTCTGTTTCTACTCTGTAGTCCAATGGGAATTCAGTAATGACATTTTGTCATGTCAAACTGTGAACATAAATTTGTACTGTACAGTCCTCATATACTATATATAGTATGCAATATATGTATTATATACTTGTTAATAAAACCATCAGAATATTAAAGGTGATCATGTGATTACTAGATGTGCAATGATCACAAGGAACAATATCTAAGAGATACTAAGTTAGCCCCTTTAAGAGAGTCTGCTTAGAAATTCATCAGCCACTCTTGGCTGGGTGCTGTTGATGGAGGGATAAAAGAGCGGATCTAAGGGGAAGATGCATTAGGTAGTTTAAGCCCTGAAGCTTGTCTTCCTGGGTTTCTGGCAATACCCAACAGGAAGTCCCCGAAGGGCAAGCTTTCTAAGCCTTCAGACAACCCATCATTAAGGTAGAAATTTATTTGTATTTGTGAAAGATTGACTGTCCATTGCCCCCTGCTTTCAAAAGAGTGCAGTGTCTTGTATTAAAAGATACCTTATGTGTAATAGTTTAAACATTTTAACGAAAAGATAATATTTAGTGAGTGGAGAATCAAACAATAGTAATTGTATCAGAGTCAATAACTCTGGATAAACATGGGTTATCTTTGAAGACTTCAGGAAGCCATGACCATGGGCACTGGAGCCTACAGCATCACACGACAGGATTCTAGAACCATTCATTTTAAAGGCTATTCTTAAGTAAATGTCCTTAGCAATATTGTAAAAAAAAAAAAAGGCGGGGGGACATATTTATGGGGGTCAGTATTTGAACTCTACCCAGGCTTGCTGTGAGTCAGAATTGAATCAACGGCCTTGAGTTTGTGTGGTTCTTTGGGGAGGAGTTGCACTAGGATCCCAGGTGGCGTAGTGGTTGCCTGTTGGGCTGCTAACCTCAAGGTCAGCATTTCGAAACCACCAGCTGCTTTGCAGGAGAATGACAAAATTTTCTATTCCCGCAAAGAGTTAGTCTCAGGAATCCACAGCGGCAGTTCTACACTGTCCTACAGGGTCACTGTGAGTCGGCATCAACTCAGTGGCAGTGAGTGTGGTTTTGGATTTCCACCGATCTCTAAGTATGCCTTCACCACTATCACATTATTTTGATGACAGCAGTTTTATAGTAAACCTTGACAGTAGACCCCATGGTTCATCCAAGCAAGTTATTTATGTTAGCTCTGCTTTTCCATGTAAATTGTAGAATCAGTTTGCCAATCTCTAAATGATTTTTTGTTTTTAAGGTCTTGGGAATTAGTTTGGGAATGCATTCTATTTATAAATCAATTTGGGAGAATTGACAACTACACCTTCCAATCCAAGAATATCCCATTTATTTAAGTCATCTTGGATTTTTTTTCTCCGCAATCCTATATGTTTCATGTACAAGTCTTGTAAGTATTTAAACAGATTTACACTTAAGTTTTTCCTGTTTGTAGGTGCAGGTGTGTGGGCACAAGGATTGACTGAAGCAGTGGTTCTCAGCCTTCCTCATGCTGCAACCCTTTCATACAGTTCCTCATGTGTTGACACCCCCACCCCCAACCATGAAATTATTTTGGTTGCTACTGTTATGAATCAGGCGACCCCTGTGAAAGGGTTGTTCGGCCCCCAAAGGAGTCACAACCCCCAGGTTGAGAACCGCTGACTGAAAGAGACAAAGGGATGGGGAGGTCCAGCCCTTAGTGAGGTGGCGAATGGAAACCGCTGCATAAAGCCCCTGGGCATGAGCAAAGGCAAACCACCCTAGAAGACCGTATCAGGACTTCAAAATGTTTGTAGGGAAAACTGCTTTTTCTTCCCTTAAGCTTCTGAAGCACCTTCATACTCTTGAAGCCACAAGACAGAAATGACAGACAGTTTGATGACAGACTTGCTTGATAAGTACAGGGGAAAACTCTATGAGCGAGGGTCAGCAGCCTCACTGCTAGTGACATGATAGAGGGACCGTCTGAAATTGTAAAATGTGAATGTTTAAAGACGACCCGGATCCAAAAAAAGATCCCTGGTTTTGCTCAAGACATGAATAAGTGCATGTCACTCGATTCCTCCTGTCAATTAAAACAAAAAATTCTGATATGTCACATATATATATAAACATTTATTTTATATATATAACATGAAATATAAGTGTGCGTATATATATATATATCATATTGTTATCAACTAGTACTAGATTCTGAAAGGAGAAGGGAAGATGGTGAATAAGCTAAGGAATTGGGGGCTCAAGAGCCAACCCAACAATGAGTGTCCTGGGGTTGAGTTGGTTGTTGGTTTTGATCTGAGCACTACAGCAGCCAGAGCCCAGAACCACTGGCACCAGGTACAGACCAGAAAATAAGAAGCCATGTGGGGGAGGGGGAGGGCAGCTGAGCCGGGTGGTGCCTTAGGTAGTGAAGCACTTTATTGAGAACCAATTGGTTGGTGGTTTGGACTGGGAGACATGTGATGGTTTGCTTCCCAAAAGACTGCTGTCGTGGGAACCTTATGGGAACAGTTTCTTGCTGCCAGGCAATTGGTCGTTATGAGCCAAAATCAACTTGATGGCAATGGGCTTGGATTTTTGGCTTCCTAGACAGAAAACCAGACAGACGATGACTTTACATGATGCACCTTTTATCCAGTGCAGTGGGTTATGATCCTTTGGGCTGCTAACAGCAAGATGAGCAGTTCAAAACCACGCTCAGGAGAAAGATGAGGGTTTCTACTCCCATGAAGAGTTGTCGTCTCAAACCCAAAGGGCTAGTTCTATAATGTTCCACAGGGTCGCTATGAGGCTGAATCAATTCGATGGCAGTCAATTTGGTATTGGTCTTGCTCTAAGGAAACACAAGGCCAGAACAGCCTTTTCCCCATCATGCTGCAGGGTTTGGTGGGTGTAATTGTCAGCCGAGAAGTGGTCCCCCTGCTTTCCACTGATGCAGCGGGAGCAGCAGAGATCACAGGGCAGAGCCTTGCTGAGGATACAAGCAGAGACAGCGACTCCTTAGCACCAAGCACAATGGCCCCAGAGACTGGGGCAGTCTTGTTGGCTATACCCACCCTTCACTAAAAGGCAGCATCCCCTCCCCATATGAACGAGAGAAGGAACAGATCAAGAGGTCTTTCAAACTTAAGTTTGAAGACCTTAGTGGACCACGCAAAACCTGACCAGTGTCACCCTAGCAAAAGCTTTAGAATTGGACTCATGTGGAATACCACCTAGGTTTCAAAGTGGCCCCTTGAGTAGCACACAGTGGGGCAGACCAGAATAGCATTGCGAAGGTGTTCAGAAATTAAATTACCACTCAAACCACAACCCACAAAAGCAGGCCAGGAAGTGTGTGCTATGTGCAAATGGGCTGTCTGCTTGCTAAAATAAAAGATTCTCAACTGCTGAAAGAAAGAAAAAACACAAAACTTGTCAACCCAGAAATCTATGTCCAGCAAAAAATGTTTAACATCATTTACAAAATAAAGACAGAAGAGAAATAGAACTTCACACCAAGAGATCTCAAAGAATTGCTGAAGGCAGCTCTTCAGGCAGAAATCATAACAGAAGGCAATCTGGAAAACTAGGATTAAAGAAAGAGTAGCCAAAAGGGAAAAAAATTAAGTACACCGAACAATTGCTTCTTTTGGTCTATAAAACTTTTTGACAGTTAAAAAGCAAAAATGATAACATTCACATGGCCTAAGGATGCTTAGACTGTATCAGGAACCCTGTGGTGGGTCAGGGATTGTGTGTGTGTGTGTGTGTGTGTGTGTGTGTGTGTGTGTGTGTGTGTGTGTGGTGAGTAAGCACGAGGTGGCTAACTGGAAGGTTGGGAGTTCAAGCCTGTGGGTTGCTCTGTGGGAGAAAGATGTGGCCATCTACTTCTAAGAAGAGTCCCCCAAACCTAGCCCACTGCTGTTGAGTTGCTTCTGACCCTAAAGGACAGAATAAGGTCACCTCTATAGGGCGTCCAAAGCTGTCAGTCTTTACAGACAGACTGCCACAGCTTTCCCCAAAGAGCAACTGCTGGGCTCCACCACCCAACCAGTTCATTAGGAGCCCCGTGCTTCCACGGTGCGTCACCAGGGTGCTTCTGCAAAGGTGGACAGCACTGGAAGCCAGGTCTGCCCTGTCTTACAGGTGTCAGGAGGTGCAAGTGACAACCCACAACAACAACAGAAATTGGAGCGAGTAAGAAGACCTAAATTATGGTAAAGTGGTAACATACTGATCTAGTAGACAGGGATAAACTATGTGTGTATATGTATATACATTGCTTTAGTCTGGGTTGATCAGAGAAACATACAGGGACAGTCATTTCTGTATAGGAAAGAGCTTTATATGGAAGAGTCATTGTATATTGAGTTCAGTCCATAAGTCTGATATTAGCCCATAACTCCTATATTAGCCCATGCATTCCTCGTCAGACTCATGCGCACATGCAATGATGCAAAATGCAGGAAGATCACAGGCTGGTGGGTAAAAATTCTTGTGAATCCAGCAGTGGTGGAAACATTTCAGTGTTGGCGAATGTCTCCACGTGGCTCCTCCAGCTCTCTGGGTGTCTCAACAGCAGGAAAGTGAAGCAGAGAGGGGCTCCTCGCAGGTCTCAGCAAGTCTCCCAGGCTTGTCAACAGGAAGAAGGCAGACAGAGTGTGTAGCCTGTTTCCGGTGAGAAAGAGGAAGTTCCCGGAATCCTCATGAGAAGGTCACTCCCCAAAGAAGGCATCATCAGGGTGTGACCTGATTGACCGGCTAGACTCCACATCTAGACTTTTTTTTCAAGTTGACAAGAAATTATGTAACCATATATATGTTAGCAGATAACTGACGTAATGTAAGATCTTTACAATACTACATCAGAATCATACAAAGGATATGTGAATCAGCATACATTTGGAAAAATGGTATTGAATGAAAAAAAATAGGAAGCAACAATATTAATACGACAAATTATTCATGTAAATTAGACCAATGCATCAAGGTGGAAAAATGAGTCACTAACATTATATGGAGAAGAAAAACTCTGGAAAAGCAAAACCTTACTACAGAAGAGATCAGGCCTACGCTCCCTGATCTCAAAAGCTACAATATAGCCGCCATGGTCAAAACAGTCTGAGATTGGCAACAGACACATCATAGACCAATGGAACAGGACTGAGAATCCATCA